GTGCCGAGGACGAAGAATTCCAGTCTAGACTATCTCTGCACGTTTAATCGCGACCGACGATATGATATTCTTGGTTTATCACGCGAATCATTTTAATACTAGAATCGTCGCTGGTGTCATTTTGGTGACATCCGCTAATCATTTCAATTTTTTTCTTTTTTGTATTAAATATACGGTACAAAATATTAAAAATATATGAATATAATACGAACAATTCTAATCATATCAAATAATATCAATAAATCTTCATTATGAGGATAGGAAATTATCAAATTGGCACTTTCGACAATTCTAGCGATCGGCAGTTCCAATATCAAATGTCAATTTAATTATTGTCACTTTTATTTATTTCAATATTATCTAAAATTTATGAATTTATCAAATTTTCAAGAGATTTCGATAATAAATCTATTTATTAATTGTACTTGGAACAAAACATTTTTGATTAAACCAACAAAAAGATCCAACCAGAATGATGTTTTGAGGTTAAATAGAATTTCTGGTAATAACTAAAAAATGCTTATGATAATCAGAAAGTCCATTTCAAAGTGTAATTTGGTCACAATTTTCAATTGGCTTTATCAAAATGTAATTTTGTCTGTGATCAAATTCTCGCTATAAATGTTTTAAACGTTTGATGAACCAATCAGAAGAAAGAATTTTGAAAATGATGATCAATCAAAAAATATTTTAATGCATTTATAGCATTGACCATATCCTTCGTCATCTGACAGCAAGAAAAAGAGAGGGACTACTATCGCGCGTATCGATACTGATACCGATCGCGTGGAGAACAGAGGTTGGATGCATGCGTACACGCGCCACCGAACCGGACCCTGCGCGGTTGGAGGTATACATGTGGCCGCATCACGGAATTCCGAAGAGTCGCGAAATTCCGGAACGTCGTGAAATCCGACCGTGACAAATTCCAACACGCAAGAACGGCATGCGCGCGTCACGCGCCGTATTGGCGCACTTCGTGACGCAGCATCCAGTTAATGTTCGTCACTTACGTCTTGTACCGATATCCGTTAATAGCCAAGAATGTAAGAAAAAAAAAGAATACCTACTGAAGTTGTAGGAGAGATACGCAAACGCACACGGTTTCTCGTCATTTTCTTTTGAAAAAGGAATATAATAAAAACGATAAGCACGTTTTCATCCTAAAGATGAAAGATCCTAAAAATTCTAGAGTTCTTCAAATTTCTACCTCGACGCGGTGACAATGAAAAGGATTACGATCAGCGATAAAAGTAACGATTTCCCTGAGTCTCTTCGTTACCGATTCATTGGCGTAGATTGAAATCCGAAGGATGTCCCAGAGGACGACGCGAGACATGTCAATGTGGGGATGAAATCGTCGTAACTCACCCAACGATCACCGTAGACATAGCTGCGAGTCTCCGCCTCGGTGTGTCATCTCAGTCCATGCATTGTAAATCGTACGAATTACGACCGGCTAGCTGCAATAACGATTCAAGCACGTCGTTTCGCCACAAATTCTCGCGGTTTCCGTTGTAGAATAGCGTACGATCTACGATGGATATACGTTTACGTGACAGGACACGTTTGACAGGTCGATGACTCTTTGTGCGTTTGATTTTGGACAGATTGCACTTCTGTCCCGATCAACGCGAACAATCCAGTTTCGAAACCGGCGTAACGCGATCACTGTATTACATCATCATCGGAATTCAGTTAAGAAAATCGTGCCGATTACGTCGCCACGATGCATCGCACTTGCAACCGCGCGAGATCGATTGTGTGTCGAAAAGTCTACGACCGAGCCGAGCTTTTATACCTTTTTAAGCATTACGTGCGGGTGATGAATTCCCGTCGCACGCCTATCAAAGCATAGTCCGTGGACTTTTTGAGTCGAAGATTAACGGATTACGCTGATATCTACATTAATCGTAACGCTGACGTAACACCTGAAGTTCCCAACAGTCACAAGAATGGTGGTTCCCCGGTAAACCGATCTTTATCAACCAGACATTGTTATAACGGTGAACCATCGTTTGCATCGTTATTAAATCTCCCAACAGAAGCACCGAATTTTAATGGTATCACATTGATCTATTGACAGGATATCAATTTGTCCGCACAAACCGCGAATGGAAGGTTAAATCACTTTGCGCGGCTAAACGATGGTTGACGCGAGAAATCACTTCTCTCCTTCGGAACGATAAGAGATGCTTGTGTTTGATCGCGATTATAGATTGTAGATTCGAAAGATCACTTGATACACGCGACTTGGTAGTCACCGGGACGAGATCGGCACGGTGAATGTGCCGGCGAGGATGCAACCCGCGGCATGACATCCCGGACCACGTGAGGACTCATCCAAAGGGGATTTTGGTGGGGATATTTGTCGCCTACCGCGTGAAAAACTGCCAACACTTGAATAGGCTCCGACACGACGATGAAAAACGCGGCTACC